GCATGTTATGCAAGTACCATGCAAGATTGAAACAGTCCTACTTATTTATCTTCTTTGACATCATCTTGGATCTTCATTGATTTGTAATTATCTTTGCAGGTAAATAATTAATTGTTGCAAGTCTAATGTGTTCAGTCAGGCAAACTACAGCCATATCAATAATTAAACATTAACATCTATAAAACAATCAGGCAAAATAACCATAAACTTCAATACAACATCTAATCATGCAATAGCCAAATCAAGCAGCAAGATTATGGAGATTTTAAAATAAGATTCAAACTTGTGCAGACAGAGGCAAGGTGTCTATAAAGGTAAGCTTCTTAAACTGCTGGGCTACCCCAGGTCCCCATACAGGATGTAAGCTACCCTAGGTCCCCATATAGGATGTAAGCTACCCCAGGTCCCCATACAGCATGTAAGCTACCCTAGGTCCCCATATAGGATGTAAGCTACCCCAGGTCCCCATACAAGATGTAAGATAGCCACTGTGATGGCCATATTGAGTGTCTAATGGAAACATTTTTATTTAGGATTAACTAAACATCATGTGAAGCTTTAAGCAAAAGCCACATTTTGATATAACCATCCATTGAAAAGGAGTAACAACAAAATAACCGTTGCTGTGGTGGATTAGGATTAACTAAACATCATGTGAAGCTTTTAGCAAAAGCCACATTTTGATATAGCCATCCATTGAAAAGGAGTAACAACAAAATAACCATTGCTGTGGTGGCCATATTGGATGCCTGGGTTGCACCTTTTTCATTTAGGATTTGCTAGATGTAATAAGAAATCCATTGAAAATTCTATGCTGACATGAATGCATTCTGGAGGAGAAGCAATAGCAAGATTTTCAAGATAGCTGTTATGGTCACCATTTTGGCATCATTTTCAATTAGGACTAAACAAATGTTTTAAGAGGTCTTAGAGCGAAATCACCATGCTGATATGACCATCCATTGAGGAGGAATTACAATTAAATTTTTTTAAAGATGACTATTTTGGCATGTGTAGTGTAACTATTTTTAATTTGGCCCAGTTAGACATAAGAAGTCTTCATTTGAAACCCCACAACAATATAACTTTCCATACAGGAGAAGAAACAATAACAAGATTTTCAAGATGGCAGCCTTTGTGGCCATACTGGACATCCTACTAACCCCATTTTCATTTAGGATCAAGCAGACATCACATGAAATCTTTTAGTGAAACCTCATGTTCATTAGACAATCCATTAAAAAGAAGTTGCAATAACAAGACTATAATGATGGCCACTGTGGTGGCCATATTGGATGTCTGGGTGGCACTATTTAATTTAGGAACAACCAGACCTTAAGAAGCCTTTTAGCAAAACACACAACACACACACACACACACACACACACACACACACACACACACACACACACACACACAATGTTGAAATGCATACTTGGGAGAAGTAGCAATAATACGAATTTTAAGATGGCTGCTGTGGTAGCCATACTGAATGCAAGATTGGCATCATTTTCATTTAGAACCAATTTGACCTTGGGAAGAATGTGTGTGTTAATGTTTCATGGCAATCTTCCATATTAAGTTCTGCAATAAGAAACTTGTGCTAACAGATGAAGGTCATATGATGGACAAACAATACAAGCTCTTTTATGTCTATGAAGTGTCAGTATATTATATACTACAACTGTAATGAAAATCCAATAATACATCTTAAAGTTGTGACAATTTGTATATACAGTATTATCAAATGACATTATAAAGGTCCAAAATTAAACAAATAGTAAAATGTGGGATTTGCTATCAAAGAGCTGTGGGTTTCCTATCTGCCAAGGCCAACCTGCCTCAGTTGCCTTCTGGTGTTCTAGAGAAAGGCACTTAATTTCCTCATCTAGATAAAGACAATAAGGTGTTACACATGCTGTTAAATCCCACAAAAGCATATTCTCCAGATGCTAAAAGTGACTTATCAAATATGCCACACCATAAACTCCATGGCAAATCAACCAGAAGCTAATAGTGACTTGTAAACTTAGAATGCCACACCATAAACTCCATTGTAAATCAACCAGAAGCTAATAGTGACTTGTCAGCTTAGAATCCACACCATAAACTCCATTGCAAATCAACTTGAAGATGGCCAAAATCTGAATACAAATTTCCAGCTGAATTTTAAAAAAAAAAAAACACAAAATAAAAAACTAATAATAAAATTAATTTGCACATGATAACATGATAAAAAGCCAACTTAAATGCTGAAGTATAATGTTTCAGCCAATAAGAACTTGACATGCAAGCCTACAAAGGTCATTGCATAATAAATATCGATTAGATTAGCTCAGTAGTTTAAGTAATCCTCAGGGATTATTAAAAATAAGTATCAATAATTCCTGACTTCTGATGATAGGGGTCTGTTTTATATAAATATCACATAAAATGTTTGGCATCACAGGAATACCTTCTGCCTCTGATGTTTAAACTTTTCTTTGCATGCAATGTTCAAAAGAACAGGCCCTAGAATGTGTGGGCTACAGGGAAGCATGCTGGATTTAAGGCAGCAAGTGATGAGTGCGGGTCCCAAAGCAAAATTACTGCATTAAGGAGAAGTGCCAGGCCCAAGGCAGTTGCCTCATTCGCCTTACCCTAGGGCCTAGCCTTATCTTCAATAAATAAAACAATTAACCAAGGGCCTACAGCACCTCAAGAGTTGGATGTTCTGATCTATAAAAATAAAATAAAATTATGACAGTCTGTTTTAAGCCAGTGAATACATTTGTCATTCCATGAAACATAAGCCCAAGAAAAGTCTTTAGCAAGCTCATCAATGCATATCATTCACTTTGCTTCCATTGTGATTATGCAGTCTACTGAAATATATGTTACCATTAGTTGAAAGTTATGTATGTCTGAAGTCCATTATCATCTGCTAGTATCTGGTTTCTAAGTTGATTTATTGGATACATGCATTTGAAATAGTTATTACAAGACAATTAAGTTGTACATCCCATTAAACTGGCACTGAAACTACTATAGGCTCTGTGATGTAAATGTTTTATTATCAATCATGTATTAATTAAGGAAACTGATACTGCTATATGAGTACATAGTGGGAAATAGCATGGATCAAATATTAGTCTTTATCTATGCATTATATACATCTAGCTCTATAAGTCATGAAAAACATAATCAATGTACTGAATGCCTGCCATTTAGCTAATGTCCAAAGAGAGTTTATTAGCTAAACAATTCTACAAGCATATTTGTAGTCCACTTTTGACAGAAATTGTGATTAAATGCATACTCTTTGTCAAAAGCATGTGTAATACTTAATGACTGGCACTATTTTGGAAGATGTAGCTGATGGAACACTCAAGGTATTGTACAGAAGATATTTTTCTTCCTTTTCCATCAGTGACCTTGACCTTTGTATTGACCCAAAACATGATCCGGTTTTCTTCTTAGCTAAAGTACAGGCCATTAAAGTTTGGTAACTAAAGTTGGTGATTAAATGCATACTCTAATTAACAAACTATGGTATTATATGGAAACCAAATTAGTAACAGACAGAAGGACAAACATAATACTTAATGGTAGGTACATGATATGCAAACCTTATGACAGGCATGTAAAAACAACATGAGATAAACAATTACTGTCCTACTGTATCCACAATCCCACAGGAACCCTTTCATGATGCTATCTGGAATCATTAACAACTATATCCACTGTCACATTTTCCCAATGGACCAAAACAGTCCAAATATTCTTTCTGATTAAACAGAATAAAGATCACATTTGCGGAAGAAAATCTACAAGCACATGCATCCATCAAAATCAATAACCTCTATTCACTGACTCACGTATGCAGAAAATTTAAAATCATTCTTGCGGTTATTTCCATGACAAAGCAAAACATTACTGCATAAATACATCATTTTTTTCAATTCAAATAAGTTTTTTGTAACAAAAGTGTTGCAGAATTCTGCCTGATCAACTTCCCATCCATCAATACAAGATTAAAATTCAAAGTAGCTTTGTTAGTGCATGTAAAACAAGAATTGTTGATTTCTGATCTAATAGAAAGCAAAGAACCTGTTTATACAGTCCATGCATGCAAACCTCCTTACATCTGTGTAACCAGAATTACTGCAGTGTATAAATTGTTCTTTATCAGTCAGTGATCCTCCTCTTAGAAGTCCCTGCTAATGAGAATCCCACCCTATAATATCCTCTACAATGCTTATTCATTTCAATCTGCTTGTACACATCTTATACAGCTCTCTAATGTGAGGACACCACATCATATCCTCTATCAAGCTTGTTCATTTCTATCAGTGTCCCCAACTTATACAGCCCTCTAATGTGAGGACCCCCCATTTATATCCTCTACTAATCTATATCCTGTTCATTTCCATTAGTTTGTCCCCCTCTTATACAGCCCTCTAATGGGAGGACACCCCATCATATTCTATATCAAGCTTGTTTATTTCCATTAGCTTGTACCCATCTTATACAGCCCTCTAATATGAGGACACAAAAACAAAAATATCTGATACTAAAGTTGCTGTTTGTTATTAGTTTGTTCCCATCTTCTAAAGCCTCTATAACATGAGACCACCCCATTTTACTGTACATTTTGTGCATTTCTAAAGCCCCTCTAATGATACCTGATCACAAAGGCTGTGCATTACCATCATTCTGTCCCCTCATTAGGAGCTCTGTGTGTGTGTGTGTGTGTGTGTGTGTGTGTGTGTGTGTGTGTGTGTGTGTGTGTGTGTATGATTTAGATTTTAACATAGCTTTTAAAAAATTTCAGTCATATCACTACAATGTCTGCAGTGTGACAGTTTATAATGATGTCTAGCATTGAGACATCATACCGAAGATATGGCATGATGTCCAACCCAAACACAATATCATGACACCAGGATGACCAGTCCTAACACTAACCTCTTAATGCTAAGCTCCAAGCGAGGTAGCTGTTAGTACCATTTTTAAAGTCTTGTTAAAACTCAGCCAGGGTTCGAACCCATAACCTGCATCTGAAGCAGACGCTCTAACCACTAGGCCACAGGAGCGGTTGAGGGCTTAGTGTTTAGGACATCAGACTTATGACTGACCAAATGTGTGGGTGTCCTACAGTAAGAAATGCCTGGTCTACAACTATGTTATGTCCTTGGTCAAGTTACTATTACACCATCTATACCTCTATACATTCAAATTTTTCTATGCCATAAAACACCAAAACACTTTGTAACCACCACCCTACCCCATAACAGAAGCCAATTTGATTTTAGAGTCCTATTTTTGTCACAAGTTTTTTTTATGCATAAAACAATGTATTTACTTTCTTAAATATCTAGTCCAACTGATACATATGTTGTTTAAAGCTGGAATCAACTTATAAGCAAGTATATCTGGTAATAGGTCTGGTCTCAAGTTCATCTTGTGAGATCACAACAACCATCCAGTCAAGACAATCTGACCTGAACAAATTTTGAGTTGCTAAAGGAGGCACAGTGACTTGGTTGCTAACATGATGGACTTGTCACCAAAAATGTGATTCATCAAAATCTATTATTGGATCAGTCTGGGTCAGCTACCATTGCATGCTCATTAGGCAATGTACTTTACTCCAATTGCCTCATCACTAAATAACCTATTCATATTAATGTACCAGAAACAAGATCAAATCAGCATTAAAACACAAAAAGACCTAAAATGTAAGAAAATGATATCATAACTTTGTCAGTGGTGAAAAAATAATACATATCAAAATTTAAATACTTCTGGTATGAAGATACACTGCCTAATTTGTTCATTTTCTAGCTGTCATTATTAAGTGAAATCCTTGGGTTAAGACCAGGAAATGTTGAGATTTAATTCACTCTAGGAAGTGATGATGCAGTGAAAACAGCAGCTCAAGTGTGCTTCAATGTAAAAACTTCCAACATTTCTGAAATACAGACATCAACATTTCTGTAACAAATTTTATGGTACCCAGATCTTGCTACACTCTAATTGGCTCACTCGAATCACAAATTAATGCCCGAAGCACTGAAAACTTATTATTTTATTTGGCTTGGTTTGGTTTTGTAGGGCACATAAACACAAGATGATCATCTTGCTTGTCCCAAGGCAAATGGAGTCAAGTACCTTGCCCACATGTCCACTGAGCTTCTCCTATGGTGGCATTTGAACCTAAACCCATCTGGTTAAAAATACAAATTTAAATCTTTGTTGGAATCATTCTGCATTTATGCTGCAAAGTCAAGATTACAAATGTCAATCAATGGACATAATCTTGTATACCAAGTTTCTAAATGTAAACAATATGGATTAAGATTGACAATTTTGTGAACATTCTAACCTATCTTCTTTCCAGATCAATTTGCCAATTTTTCCATAGAGTGTAATGTAGGATCATCATCACATTTCCACATACATCTTAATCTTATCAGTTTAAGTGGAAAAATGCATGCAGGTTAGGATAATCAATGACAAACACAATTACTGCCCAATTCCAAGGATTGATTTTGGAATCATGCTGAGCATTCAGTGATGAAAAAATAAATTGTAATGTGAACCAATTAGTCATAACTGACCATTCTACCAACTTTCAATATGAACCTGTATTAAATCCTTCCAACATAAGGTCCGAAACAAACCAAGGATCAGCACAACTCGGTTTTGATATACATTTTGTCACTGTGACCATTCATGAATAAAAGAAATTTTTTTTTTTAATAATGACCAAAACTTTTTTTAAGTGAACTGTTACACAGAAAATCTTTGCATTCAAAATATTAGTTCATTGTGTGGAAATTATGACTTGTATGTACAATAATGACATGAATTTTGGGATAATTAAACTGGAGTCCAACTGCAAATTGCACAGATTCCAGATCTGCTATCAGATCATACTTTGACAGATCTGGGTTTATGTATACTGTGAGAAGTAATCAGTATAATAAACAAAAGACCATGACCTGCTGGTACATTATGCAATGTCAGATCAGACTATGGTGCTTGCAGTTTCATTTGACTTGTACCTGAGTATATACGGTACCTAAACAACTAAAGCTCTACTAATTATTCTTGCAGCAGTGTAACATTATTCACTTTAATGGAGGAGTAACATATGTACTTGCATGCAAGTCAAATCAAATAGCAAACAACACAGACCCTGATGTGCCCTGCATGTGTTGGCAAATCAGGGTCAGTGTTTTTTCAACTGACTGATCCTAACAAAATGAACAGACCAATATCTACTAGTACATCATGTCATGGCTGGTCTATGTCTATGAAGCATACAGATGAATCTGACTTATACACAAGTAATAATGGTATTTATACAAATTCCTAATATCCAAATTCTGTAGGAAACAAGGAAATGTTTTATTGTCAATTTAATTATGATGGGAAAAACAAAGAACAACATGTAAAATCAAAAGTCCCACATATTGCTAAGTTTAATAATTTAACATCAATTGTTTACAAATAAGTCCATTCAGCATACTTTCAGACATAACATTTCCATGAGTTATGGACATTGAAAATAATACTGCATCTCCTTTAGTCAATTTAAGGTATACCCATAGTTCATAAATACAGCTTCCTAATCAAAATTGATGAAATTGTGTTCTGATTAAAACCTATGAGCTCTACATTCTCTCAGACAACTCAGTGTAGGTCTGAAATGTTTAATCATGGCAGAAAAAAAAGTTTTAAAAAAATTCACTAAATGGTAAAGTACCATAACTGTATGAAGCTAACCTTAGATCCATGTTAGCTAATACACAAGGAGATTTTCTGATATCTGAAATATAACTTTACTAAGTAAATTTTTGTCAATATTTTATTTGTCACATTGAAATGATTTAAATGTTTTCACATTTTTAAATCTGTGTACATGAAATAATTATCACTATATCCATCACCCACAATTATTCTATACAATGTATCACAGAGAAAAATTAAAAATTCCGATGAGGAGGTGTCAATTCATGCATTATCCTTTAACGATACCTCAGCACACCCTAGAACCAACCTTATGGTGCCATCTCAAAGAAAAGTTCTAAAAACATTAAAATAAATGACTGTACAAAGACTTTAGGAGTCATTTTATGTTGCAGTACCATAATTATTATATTTAGCAACAAGTTTCAAGCATTATTTAAAAAGATAATTATTAAAATTAAATACATTTAATTTTTAGATTAAAGAGATGATAATCAATTTTAGTAACTGACATTTGCAACATGTTTAATAATATACTTTATTAACAAAAATGTTAAGGAAATTACATTGCAAACTTTTTAATGTACGATCTTGTAGATTATTCAGTCAACAATATATCAAATTATCTACAGCTATTCCATTCTATAACAAGATTGTCTGAAAGCTGTGTATACAAACCTCAGGGCAGTATCAAACTTTATTTCAGCATCCAGTCTGTTCCATGTACAACCTCTTGGGGCAAAAATAAAGATAGGGATCACTCTTCCCTAATCATCACATCAATTACACCTAAAAACCATTTTGTAGCATGTCATAATATTCAATACAGCAACAAGGTCTTAAACAATCCAGCAATCCAGCTATCTCTCCAGACGTATCCAGGTAAATTTTTACAGAAAATGCAAATCTCTCACAACTTTGCATGAAGTTTTCTTGTAAACCCTTGCCAGATGCTCCATGTCACGGACATTAAATTAAATACAACTGTACCAATCCTCCTCATTGCACAAACTTCCTGTGTAATTTATTTAACTCAACAAAAACCTGTAGCCTATGTACCAAGCAGGATGCCTAGGTCTTCCATCAGGAAGATAACAGAAGACAATTGGAGAGAATGAGTTGGGTAAATGTTGGATCAATACAATAAGTTCCACATGGCTAGCTATTCTACTGTACTCAGCCTTCGGTTCAGCCAATATTGTAGTAATTGGCTACTTAACAGGATTGCTCAGCAGCAGCAACCCTTATGAGTTGCAGTCCAGCTAACTGACAGAAAATGAATCAACATGTAAAAATAAAAAGTAGAGAATAGATGACAACAAAACACAAGGACAGTCAGTAAAATGTAAGTATTCAGATTAATATAATGGCAATGTTTGATAGCCATATTGTTTGGAATAGAGAAAAACATCAATGAATTTAATTCATTTACAACCACACTACTCCTCTGGCAAAGATTTAAACAAAGTGAAAGATTTATATATATATATATATATATATATATATATATATATATATATATATATATATATATATATATATATATATATATATATATATATATATATATATATATATATATAGGCAGACAGACAGACATGTAAAGATGGATAGATTCAACCAAATTTCTTTCAAATAGAATAGACTAAAAATAATAAAAACATACAAGATTGTAATTAAGCCATTGATGGAATTTTAAAATTATTTTCAGCTCCTAAACAATTATCCCAGAATGTTTCCTTGTTCTCTCATCCACTTTTGACATGAATATGTTTTGCTAAATAAATGCCTATCACTTTCAAGAGATCTTTACATCAGTTTGTACTCAAATGTTTCAACAGGTCTTCTATTTCTTTTTGTAGTCATTTGTTTGAAATATAACCTCCATCCCAATGCATTTATTTCTTTCACTATCCTAAATACTGTTTTTTAGAGTTTAAACAATACACTATATAAATTAAATTTTGAGTATCATATGGTATTCAATTTTAAAATTTTCACCCATTTTCATGGTTTTTTTTAACAAGCATGAATTAAATAGAAATAACACAGATAACATCCATCAAGTTCACACTTAAAACAACCATGCTTGTCAGTACTAAAATGCTCCTTATCTCCTATGTTCCTGTTTCACTTGTAACCATTAAGTGCATGTTCTAGATGCTTGGATGGATGGATGGATGGAAAAAAGACAGACAGATGTATGTATGGATGGACAGATAAATAGTTGCATTTTATTAACTATAGCCATGTACATGGTTTGTAACCACCAGATTTTCCATTGTTAACTAAGCATCAAACCAAAACAAATCATTTAGATCTGCTTTTACATGCTGCT